TAAGACCTTGTTACTCAAAGTGTTGCCTGTGGACCAGCATCGCCTGGGAGTTGAAAATGCAGAATCTCAGGGCTGCAGAACTACTGAACCAAAATCTGCATTTGCCAAGACCCTGTGTGATTTGTTTGTGCACTTAAGCATGAAAAACACTGGCAGAAGGGTTTAGAGAATTGAGATATCTCTTCTAGCTGTGGACAAAGGATTTCATGGAGGAGAGAGCCTTGAAGGAGAGAGAGGATTTTGACTCCTTGCTGGTGGCTAGGAGGAGGTTATCCTGGGCAAAGGCAGAAAGCAGTGAAGATAGCGTTTTGAGTGGTCGGATTTATGAGGGCACAGCGTTAGTGTAGAGTGGGGTAGCCACTGGGGAGCCAAGAGTGCTTTAGGTTAGACTGCCACTAGGATTTAGAGTTTTAAAAATAAACATTGGTTATACAAGGAAAAAAAAATGTGTGTGCGTGTGTGTGTATACACACACACACACACAGACATTAAACATATATACATATATATTTTAAATTTGTTGAAAAAAATGTTTTTAAGAGACAGGGTTTCATTCTGTTGCCCAGGCTAGAGTGAAGTGGCATCATCATAGCTCAGTGTAGCCTCAAATTCTTGGGCTCAAGTGATCCTCTTGCCTCAGCTTCCTGAGTATGTGGAACTGCAGATGTGGACTGTCATGCCTGGTTAATTTTATTTATTTTTTTTATTAAGTATACTTTTCCTCAGAGATAAGATATTGCTGTGCTGCTCAGGCTGGTCTCAAACTTCTGGCCTCATGTTATCTTCCTGCCTTAGTCTCCCTAGTAGCTGAGATTGTAGGCATGAGCCACCATGCCCAGATGGAATATTTTTATATATGGCGCTGACAGATAATCTCAGAGGTGGAAAGGAGCTTCATGGTCCTTTTGTCTCGGTACCCAGTGGGATCAGAGCTGTGCTTTAGGAAGGGGAGTCCAATTTGCCTATGTGGGATGGTTTGCTGACTGGACTTGGAGATTAGGAGATAACATGGCAGTGGTGGGAATGAAATGGAAAGAATTGGATTAGAGAGAATAAAGGGAGAGCAAAGGTAGAATAAGGGAGGCAGTGTTTGCTGCACAGGCTGAAGACCTGGGAGAAGAGAAAAATAATGGTGGAAATGAGAGAAAGAGGGGGCGTTTCTTTAGATGGGAAGGTGATATTTGGTTTCTGACATGCTGTTTGAGATGCTAGTGCAGCACCTAGGAAGAATTGCCCACCAGTTACTCAGAAATGGGTGTGTGGAACTCATGACGGAAGCTGGGGATGGAAGCAAAGATTTGGGACTTCTCTGCGCCATGGTTGTGCTTAACCTGGGTTTGTGGATAAGATCTTCAAGGAAAGATAGCCTAGTCTTCAAAGAAAGAGAGACACAAACAGAACCTCCAGACTTATGTGAAATACTGATAGAATACTGTAGGACACGGTTTCCCTGAGCACTTGGCTTCTTATCTGATGGTGTGAAAATGCACTCCAAGGCAGCTTGCTTCTTTTCTTAACTATAGTACTATGACTGTCTGTTAAAAGAAATGGAACGTTCCTTACAGACATTAAGGCATTCCTTAATGGCTTAGGAGATAATTTCCAAATACGGCTAATACCTATGAGCACACAGGATAAATATTGCAAGTTAGGTATAGTTTTACCACATCAAACACAGCACTAAATTTTTTTTTCTAATTTGAATTTATGTACTAGGTTTTGCTGAGTTTTCTTCCATTGGCTTCACAGAGGTTTCTCTCAATATTTTATTATGGTAATTTTCAGACAGATAGATAGTTGAAAGACTTTTTAGTGAAAACCTCTGTATACACCTGTCACCTAGACTCTACTGTTAATATTTTACTATAATTGCTTTATCACTTACCTCCCCATTTAGTCGTTCTATATAAAGATTTTTATGAACATATTATTTTCGTTATAATATAAAGGATATGTACTGCTTTTTCAGTAAATATTAGAACAAAAATATTTCTCTAAGTTATGAATTATTCATAAACATTATTTAAAATGATGTAAAAATATTTCACCTAATATATTTAATCATACCAGAGGTAACTTAATGATTCTACATTTTAGAATTTTTTTTTTGATTCTGTTAGGTACATCTTTATGCTAAACTCTTTTCTGTTTTAAAAATTTTATTTTTGAAGTCTAGATTTCCAGAAGTAAAAATGGTAGGTAGGTCAAAGGATATGAACACTTTGATGACTTTTGATACTTGTTGCCAAACTTTTTCTGAAAGCCAAATTTATGAAGTCAAGTCAGTGTATCTGTGTGTTTGCTTCAGCATATCCTGGCCATCCTTGACATATCATTAAAAAAATGTTTAAATAAACTTGAGAGCTTTGGAAGCGTCTGGGTAACTTGGCAGGGCGCGTGGGCTGGAGCAGAGGTTCCAGCTGCAGCTGAGGAACTCTCTCCTTTGTGAAGTGTTTGCTTCCAGATTGATGGCAAATGAAGAAGGCTTTGGGTAATGGCTGAGATCTGGTGCAAGATGGAGAGAGGGTGATGATAATATAAAGAAGAGATTCAATTTCTCTTCTTTCTTCACTGCCATTCTTATATATATATAGAAACAATCTTAAATGTACAGAAAAGATACAAATACAGTAAAAAGACTTTTCTTGAACTAATTTGAGAGTAAGTTACATTAATAATGTCCCATTACCCCCAAATACTTCGGTGTATATTTCCTAAAAACAAAGATATTCTCCTGTTGAATCATAACATAACCCTTCGAACCATGAAACTAACATTGATACATTTCTGCCATTTAATATTCATATTCTATTTATGTTTCACTGATTCCTTAATATCTGTTATAGCAAAAGAGTGTGTTCAAAATCACATGTTGCATTTACTTATCACGTTGTGTCCATTTGGAATAGTTATTTGTCCTTTACTTGGTTTTCATGACCTTGATGCTTTTGGAGGGTACAAGCCAGTTATTTTGTAGAATGTTCCTCAACATTGGTTTGTCTAATCTTTTATTTAAAATTACACTCAGGTTACACCTCTTTGGTGTAACCTCACAAATGTGATTCTGTATTCTTTTCATTACATCTTATAGGGAAGCACGGGTTTTTGATTTTTTTTTTCCTTAGGAATGTTCACTTCGATCACTTCAGGTAGTGTTTGTTAGGCTTCTGCACTGTAAAATTATTCTCTTTCATTGATAGGTATTGATGGGGAGATATTTTGAAACTATGTAAACATACTGTTCCTTATGAAACGATCAGCTTCTTTATTTTTTTCCTTATCTCTTCATTCAATTGTGTGTTTTATTATGGATTAATGGATTCCTGTATTCACTGGAGTTATAATCTATTACCATCATTACTTATTTTGATGCTTAAATTATCCCTGATTCAGTCAGTGTGAATTCTTGCACACTGACATCTATGTCCTTTTCACATTTCCATCATTTTTTGCGACTTTCTTCCTTTCCGATGTAAGATATTCTTTGTTCGTAGTGTATTTTGCCTGCACCAGCCCTGTAATCTACCAGTTTTCTGAGGCAGTTTTAGTCTTTTTAATGGAGAATGATATTTAAGAACAAAGATTTGGGTGCTTTGTGTCCTCATTGTTGTTAGGGTGTCATGCTTCCAGAACTGAGGAATGTGTATGCATATGTATATGTGCATTTATGTCTATATTTTTATAACATCTCAATTGGAGATATATATATTTCCACTGGCATCTACAATTCCAATTCTATAGGGTTCATTCTTATTTTCTCCCTTTCCCTATATATTCTTCTTGGGCAGTGACAAACTTGATTCCTATTACTACGTATGTATGTATGTATGTATGTATGTATGTATGTATGTGATCCATCTCCACGTGTGAAACCAATCTCTCATCACTGTGGCTGCTGTCCTCCCTCCCCATCCCCATGCCCTCCTCACCACATCTGTACTCTCCCACCCCATGCCAGGCTGCCTGGCCATATAGAAGCCCTCCTTACCTTACTAGAGCTTTGATCCCTCTGCCGGTTCACCCCACCCCCACCCCACTTCTGCTCGATCCTGGTGCCCTTCTGCAGGCCACCTCTCTCCCTTTCTTCCTGGCCCAGCTTGTGTTAGGACTGAATTGACAGGAAGAGGCATAGCTTTTATCTCTCCAGACCTTGTGGCTCATTCAGAGAATAATACAAACTTGGATTAGTTCATCCTTAACCAGGAAGGAAAGGAGAGGCTGGAGCTTTTCCCTGTGGCTTTGGCGTTTCCCTTTCAAATGGAGGTTTTTCACCCAAGTCCCACATCACATATACAGGATCTCTTTCTGGTTGTTGGTGCTTTTAAGATGCTGGGTGGAAATCCGCTGAGCCTCCTGGGCTTCCAGGCAGCTGGGACAAATCCTATGTACTCCTGAAGATGCTGGTTCCAAGACAGAGAATATGGGGTGCAGGCAGAGTAGAGAAACTGAACAAGACTGCCACCTTCACGTTCGATCCCAGACTGGGGAGGGGCTCAGAAAAGGTACCTTGTTCCCTAGGTGGACAGATGTCCTCCTCTGCTGCTCCCCAGCTTGATTGCTCCAGTGCAAGCTGTAATCCTTTGTCATTTTGTCTTTGGGTAGGGAGGACTGGACTCCATCTCAGTTGGGAGTCGGGGACTGGTGGAGGAGGTAGGGAGAGTAGTTAGGAGGTTAGGGAAGGGGTGTTCTTTAAGTTTCCTGCTAGGGTTAGTCACAGCCACAGGGTTGCTTTCAGGGGATCTTGTTCTACCCATGGGAATGCCAGAGGTTCCCAACTGAAGGGCTCCAAGGTTAGGGGAGGGAAAGGGTGGCAGCGGCAGCTGCAAACCTGGGTGCAGTGGACAGATTGTTGAAAAGGATGAGGGTATCTTACTGTCTTAATTTGCCCGAGAAATATACTTATGCATGCTACTTTTAGCAAGTAATTTTCCTGGTGCCATTTTTCTCAGTCCTCTGATGCTATTTCACTTATCATTAATTTTTAATATTATTTTTGACAGCCACTACAATGTTTGAAGCTGGAAAGGACAAAGTTAATTCAGACGAATTTGCTGTGGCACTTGACGAAACTCTTGGAGACTTTGCGTTCCCAGACGAATTTGTCTTTGATGTGTGGGGAGTCATTGGTGATGCCAAACGAAGAGGGTTATGATGTGGACACTCCATCTCTGAAGAAACAAGCCATTGTTCTTCTTTTATTCTTTTTTTAGAAGTTCCATAAGACCTGTTTTTGGACACCTTTATACGAACTCTGGTTTAGTTTCATGTGTATGGAATATATTCTTTGAAATATAATTTTGGTAATTTTGATTTCTGGGCACTTTTTAATATTGCTTATGTAGTATGCTTAAGAGAAATAACCTAAATAAGGATCAATTGTAATACTCATTCCAAAGGTTTTTAAAAGTAAGTTTTAAGGAGTATTTCTAGGTAGATTATTTTCTTCTCTATCAATGCCCATGCTTTGTTTTTCTTATATAAAGAGTCGATTTTAATAGCTTGGTAGTTTTTTTTTTTTAAATAAAATTTTAATGTAAACTAGGATTGGAGTATGGTTTACTTCATAGCATCTTCATTTTATTATCCTGCTTTGAACAGGATATGTTCGGGAAATGCAATGTGAATTATGCCCCTTACTGGTCTAGAAGCTTTTTTTTTTTTTTTTTTTTTTTTTTTTTTTTTTTTTTTTTTATTATCCTGTGAGTAAGGGAAGGAAGATTCCTGTGGTGTGTTGATTTCAGCCCACTTTCTCTCTTTGTAAAACAAGGATTTATTGATTTTCTTGTATGCTTCTTTATACATGCTCTTAAAACTTGTGGTTAAAATCTGCGCTGTGTGTCTCTGCATGTATAAAAGAAGGATAAAAAAAGAGGTGGGGAGGGTAGAACTACTTGCATTTGATTTTTTTTTCAGTACTTTTTTTTGGTAAAGATATCTTACATTTGGAAAAATCTTAGGACTCCAAAAAAAAAAAAAAGAAGAAACCATAGAACTGATACATTTAGTAAAGTTGCAGGATATAGAAATCAACATACAAAAATCAGTAGCATCTTTTTTTTTTTTTTTTTTTTGGAGACAGGGTCTTGCTCTATCACCAGGCTGGAGTGCAGTGTTGTGATCCCGGCTCACCGCAACTTCTGTCTTCCAGTTTTAAGCAATTCTCCTGCCTCAGCCTCCCGAGTAGCTGGGACAACAGGCGCAGGCCACCACGCCCGGCTAATTCTTTGTACTTGTAGTAGAGACAGGGTTTCACCATGTTCGCCAGGATGGTCTCCATCTCTTGACCTCGTGATCCACCTACCTCGGCCTCCCAAGCATAATTTCTTTTTTTCACTCCTAGCTACTTTTATGTTGCCTTTTATAAGCACTCCAGGGAAGGTTTTATATTCTTTATAGAGTTTTTTTTGCAAATATATTTATTCAAAATAACTATGTTTGAGAACTTTTTTTTTTTTTTTTTTTTTTTTTTTTTTTTTAAACAGCAGCCCTTTTTAGTTTCCTAAACTTTAGAAGAGATGCTATCAAAAATAGATTTCCTTCCAGTGGAAATAAAGGAGGAAGGGAGAATTGAGAAATCTATTAATCTATTACTTTAGAGTTTTAACACATCCTCTGGACCTTAAATTATAGAGAAAATTGAAGGTAAATGGTTGTCTTATCACTCTTATTTGACGTTTTATAGGTGTAGGAGAAATGGAAATAAATGCTTTCAACAAAGATCACTTAATACAGCAGAGCATGGTGTAACCAAGCATCTTTGTAAAGTGTTAGCTGAAAACTGCTATGTGCTGCCACGGTAATTAGAAATAACAACCTGTTAGTGATGTGTTCTAGGAAATCAGAAGTAGTTCTCTTTTCATGCGGGGTTATTGCTTAGATAACTCTTGCTTTTTGGTAAAACTTTAGTTTTACTGCCATCCACTCCTTTTTCAAATGAGTTTAATGCCATAAAGCTGAAGCTGATATTCTTTGATTAATTTGAAATCTGCACAGAAGCTGTTTTATTCATTAATGTGTAACAAAAGTAGCTTATAGAATATGGATTGTCTTATGGCTCTTGCTCATCATTTGAAAATAAAATCCAGCTCAAGTTATAATTTGTTGGTATTTGTTTAGTGGGTTCATTTTGGAGGTTCTGGAATACCTATTAATTCTTAATAATACCTCTCTTGGAAAGACACAAAAAAAGACCTGCTATTTTTAGGGATAAGATGACTTATCCCATAGAAACATTCCTCTTTAAATGACAACAACAAAATAAATTTCTCAGCACTGGGTATTAGATTGGAAAGAAGTCATTGTTCATTGTTGATGGATGTCAGTTTCTCCTTCCTTTTTGGGCATGCATGAAGATACACTTGATGCTGATTCCCTGTGATTTGTGGAATGTTATTTTCATAATGATCTTTCTAGAATTTGTGTGTAAGGTTGTGATAGCCATGTGCAGCTGTGACTATACTTGTCTGTAGGCATTCAGTGGACCATTATCATTACTATCATCACATTACCTGGGCTTCAACTGGGCCCAAGTACTCTATATACTACCTGCAATAGGTTTTTCCTGAAAATATCCTTATCTTTCACCTCTTTAGCTAAACTGATAACAAGGTCAGTTTCTTTATGTCATTTTGTACCCATACCTGAAAATGCATCTATTTATGAGCGTTGTGCCTTTTTGTAACTCTCAGTGCACAAAAAGGGTCTGTTTTTAGTGCAGTCACATATAAGTGTGGGATACCCTTCTGCAGCTTTAATGAGACAAATCACTTTTTAAAAAATATTCTATTTTATTGGCATCACTAGATGTTTTCAGGACCCTGTCCTTTTCTCTTGTTCTGTATAGGCTCTTTTTCAATGGAGGATGATTATTTTATTTATTCTTGATTTCCTTTCATTGAAAACAACATCTTTCTTCTTGGAATGGCCACTAAGAGCACACAATGTGTTTTCTTTGGTTGTGGCAGAAAACGCAAGTGATAGTTACATGTTGGGCTTGATGAGGCCTTCAGCATAGCTGAGTCCTAATCAGATGTATATACTCTGATAATTACAAATAGGTACATGCTGGGTTTCTGTGATGTTTCAAAAATATAATTATATAAGATGTAAACTCTTTAAGAATTCAATTATAAAAGCAATAATGAGTTAACCTCTATTTGGAGCTGCTATATCCATATTGTGACTGAAAACTAAAGAGAACAATTTTCAAATGATGTATAATTTGCGGTATTTTCCCTTGTAATTTTAGCAAAAAGAAAACACACTTTATTTAGTCCCATGTTATTTATTTATTTATTGACACGGTCTCACTCTGTTGCTCAGGCTGGAGTGTAGGTGTTTGATCATGGCTCACTGCAGCCTTGACCTCCCCAGGCTCATGTGATCCTCCCATCTGAGCCTCTCAAATAGCTGGGACTATAGACATGTGCCACTATGACCAGCTAAGTTTTGTACTTTTGTGGAGAGGGGGTTTTGCCATGTTGTCCAGGCTGGTTTCAAACTCCTGGGCTCAAGCAGTCTTCCTTCCTTGGCCTCCTAAAGGGATTACAGGCATGAGCTTCTGTGTCCAGCCAGTCCCATGTTATTTATTGCTAGATTTTCATCAATTCTAGAGACTCTCTGGTCTCCTTCAATTATCATTGCCTGTCTAGCATAGTAGCAAAATGAATTTCATCAGCAAAATGGAGTTTTCAACATAATGGTTCTTCTACAAAGAGTACAGTTATCAACCAAAGATGTAAAAGATTGATTATATCATGGTCCTTTTGCTCCCTGATACAGCTAAATACATATGGATACCAGTAGCATTGCCATTACTTTAGTGGAGATACTAGGTTAGGGCAGTTAAGCATTTTACCCAAGCTATTAATGAATAAAGACATAGGAGATGGTATTCAACTCACAGTCCCAAGTATTAGTGCCCTGTATAAAATGCACATTTATTATTTTCTTGACACAGTTTGAAGGAGATAAAGTAACTACAAATTCTTACAAATGTCATGATGATAAAATATTTCTAAAATTGTGAAGTGTACAGAACGGCACAGCCTGTCCCTACCCTATTCCCTGAAAAACCTAGTTCTGTGAAATGGCTCACAGTTATTATCTGCTAGGAGTGTGAAAATTGAATGTGACATCTTTATTTCAATTGGAGACAGCTTCATAAGACCTAAGTATAGCTATAGATACTTTTGAAGCAGTAACAAAAATGAGAAATTTGAAAAAAAATTTTAAAGGTCATTTTGAGTAAATATTTAATGTTTTGAATGGTTTGTGCCATGCAATAGTATCAACTATATGTGGATAAAACATTCTATTTTTGTGGGAAAAAGTTTTCCTTTTTAAAATTAAAATCATTACTTTAAAAATTTTTTTGAGATTGAAGTTTGAGGGTCTCAATATATGAAATTGTAAATTATATTTTGGTTACCATTCTAAAATGTATTATTTACTATATTTATATCAACAGATATACAGATTTAGTCACATGTTGATCAAAAAGTGAATTATTTGTAAAGTTATATAAATATATAGCCATATTTAAAAATATAGATGTATAAATATATATACGTTTAGATATATATATAATATGTATATGTATATATAATATATATGTATATATACATATATAATATGTATATGTATATATAATATATACATATGTATATATTATATATATATGTATATATATTTTGAGACAGAGCTTCAGTCTTGTTGTCCAGGCTGGAGTGTGATAGTGTGTTCTCGGCTCACTGCAACCTCCGCCTCCCAGGTTCAAGCGATTCTCCTGCCTCAGCTTCCCAAGTAGCTGGGATTACAGGTTCATGCTACCATGCCCAGCTAATTAATTATATTTAAAATATGATTCCTTAAAATAAGAACTTGTTCATGTAAAAACTGATGAATATTTTCATCATAGAGTTACGGTTTTAATAAATTTAGACTTTCATATTATTTAAATAAGTGATAACACGTGAATGTTCAGGCTTTACATCTTTAACATACCTTTGGTATGTTTTTTCTTAACATATTTTATACAAGGTATAACCTCTAAGTTCTATTTAAAATCCCCAAATCATTTGCCTTTATTCAGTAAAAATGCATAGATAAGCACTACCATAATACTCTTAAGATAAAATAGTCATAAGCTGTTTCTATTATAAGATGGAGGTTTACCCAGGGCGACTTTATCTTTTGTTCCTTCATTCAACAAATATTGTGGCATTAGTTTCCAAACAATAGTGCAAGTCAGTAAGCAGAAGAAATGTCAGCCTATAGTTGTTAGGTAGGATGCCTTTGGGATTTATTATCTTCATTGATACAGTTTGAAAGCCCTATTAGAGCTGTTGGAAATCCTTGCAAATACTGTGCTAATTCCATATGTTAAGAGGGGCCCCACCAATCTGCATTTTACACATCCTCCAGGTGATCCTAATGGAGGCGAATCCTGGACCTTTACTTCGAGGTCTCTGAAGGCCCTGACCTAGCACTAGGG